CATTGAGGGACATCTGGGGACACAAACTTTACATGAAAGGCCTTAACACAAATGTCAGAATGTATGAACTCTAGTGGGGGGAATATGGGGGAATTCCAAAGGGGACAGGGGTATAAAGATGATTTTCTGTATGAAATACACAAAAATTCAATAATTTTTTTAAATCCAGTTTTAGGGGCTGGAGAACTCAGTGGTTAAGAGCACTGGCTATTCTTGCTGAGGACCAGAGTTTGATTTCCAGTACTTACATGGAGACTAACAACCATCCATAACTCCAGTTGCAGGGGATCCAATGATTTTGTCAGGCCTCTGCGGGCATTGCACTTATGGGTACACTTACATACAGGCAGGCAAAATATTTATACACATAAATTTTTAAAAAGGAATCCCAGTTTCACAGGCTGCAGTTTGGAGTTGTGTCTCCATCCCACACTCAACTGCTACAGACTACTAAAATAAAATTACTCTGTCAAACCCTAATCAAATGAAGCTGATTGTGGTAGGTCATGCCTGTAATCTCAGCACTAGAGAAGCTGAAGCAGGAGGATTGCTGCAAGTTGCAGGCTAGTCTGCACTACATGGTGAGTTCCAGGCAGCCAGGGTTACATAAGAAGACCCTGTCCACTCAAAGCCCACCCAGGCCCAGAGCGATGACTCAGTGGATAAAAGGCTAGCTGCACAAACCTGAAGACTCAGACTCAATACCTGGATCCCGCATAGAAAGCTGCATGCTGTGGCATGCGTCTGTAATCCCAGCATGTCTATAGAGAGGTGGGAAACAGAAACGGGAGAATTTCCCAGAAGTCTGAAGGTCAGCTAGCCTGGAGTACACAGTGTAACAGCAGTAACAAGAGAGACCTTGCCTTAAGGTGGAAGGTGAAAGTTAACTTCTAAAGTCGTCCTTTGGCATCCACATGCACAACCACACACAGAGAAATATATTTTTTACTGTTTTAGCTGTGTTTTTATTTGCTCACTTAACACCACAAACAAAATGCTATCCCATTTCACACTACCACTTTCACTTAAAACTCAAAATGCTTTATGCAAAATAGACACAAAATTTCTCTAAGTTGCCAACTGATACTTTTTCCTCTAGAGAATACTGATGCCAAAATATTTTTCCAATACATTAACAAAAAACATAGAATCACTTCATCAAAAACTAAATGTTTTTAAAAACAAAACTGGATGGAGAGGACATGCAGACGTTCATGCTTCCCCATAGTGAATATTTCATGCTGGCTCTTGCACTCAGTTCTTGCAGCTAATGGCCTGTTTGAAGCCACCTAGATTCTGTCTTCAAAAGTTCCCTTTTTGGGTAGGCACGATGGCCCAGTGGGTAAAGGCACTCAGTATCAATCCTGACAACCTGAATTTAATCCCCAAGAGCCACATGATGGAAAAAGAAAACTGATTCCTGAAAGTCATGTTCTGATTTCCATGTACCCTAACATACTAAATAAATAAATGCAAGAAAATTTTTCCTTTTAAAACATTTCCCTTGCAGGTAGATCTCTGTGAGTTCAAGTTCAGCCTGGTCTACATAGTGAGTTTCAGGTCAGCTGGGGCTACAAAAAAAAAAAAAAAAAAAAAAAAAACGAAAAAGCACTGACTGCTCTTGCAGAGAATCTGGGTTCACCTCCCAGCACCCACGTGGTAGCCAACAACTGTCCTGAACTCCAGTTTCAGGGGACCTGACACCCCCTTCTGACCTCTGTGGGCATTGAACAACACAGTGTACTTACATGCACGTAGGCAATACACTCATACACATAAAATAAAAATGGGAAATAAAGTATTAAACACAGACTCTCACATCAAAAGTGATGAGAATTTATTTTGAGCTAAATGAGTGAACACGGCTCTGGAACACTGATTCAGTATGCCCTGTATAACATGTTCCACCATGGTGGTGGTTGTATGAAGTTTAGTTACAGAATGGGGGGGACAGGGAGAAATCAAGGTATTTTCCAAATACATTGATGGGAACCACAGGTAAGCAGGTCAAGAGCAAAGTGAGGCAATTTCTGCTATAGGTCTCAAGATGCTGATTATATGCTTAGTTTTTTGGTTGGTGTTGGGTAGTGGTTGACAAAGAATACACTCCTAAGGTTTTTACCTAGTAGTCAAAAAAGGATATTAAGTTAGACATAGAGGTGGGCAATGAATGGCTAAAGGGACTAAAAATAGCCCAAGATAATTTGGCCCTGGACATGAAATATTATCACTATCTACAATCATTAAGCTCTAATCTGTAGAATCTTTAACACAGGTGTGACTTTTTTTCCAAAGCACACACAAGCATATGTTGGGTTCTTTTTTGCTGTCCTCACAAGGAAATATTTTATCCTAAAAGCTTGCCTCTGAGTTTATTTCTTATTTCACATTTAATTTTGCTTAAAACCTAGGCATTGTTGGGGCTGGAGAGATGGCTCAGCAGTTAAGAGCACTGGCTGCCCTTGCAGAGGACCCAGGTACGATTCCCAGCACCCACATGGCAGCTAACATCCATCCGTAACTCTAGTTCTAATGGATCCAACGCCGTCTTCTGACCTCTGCAGGCATTGCAGGACATGAGCGCACTAACATACTTGCAGGCAATACATTCATACACATAAAACAAATAAAAAAACTAGGCATTGCCAACTTGAGAAGAAATCCACTGTGCTCTTACCTTTAAATTCTGGGGGGGGGGGGCTGGAGAGATGGCTCAGCAGTTAAGAACACTGGACCAGTTCTATACTGAGTATTTGTCTGATTGAGTCAGCATGGGTCTTGCGCATGCTATCACATTGCAGTCACACTGCAACTCACATTGTCAGACATGAATGCCCTTACGTACATGCAGACAATACACTCATTCACATAAAATAAAATAAAAATAGTAAATAAAATATTTTAAAAAATAAATTCTGGAGTGGGTGGCACATTTGCAAGATTGCTTAAATTTGTTTGCCAATTAAGTATAATTTTTGTCAAAGAATTCTTATGATAGTTTGTGAGTTTTGTTTTAAGCCTTAGTAAAAATTTTATCAAAAAAAATCTGGGAGAAACATGAACCACTGAGAAAAAAAAAATCAAATGACAGCAGTTGTGAGGGCCCCTGGTTTTTCAGCTCCAACAAGGCTAACAGAATAGAGAGATTATTGCCTCTGCCTCTCTTTGAGATAACAAGTGATTTTTTGTTGTTGTTGTTTATTTATTTTGGGTGTTTTTGAGACAGTGTCTACCTGTAGCCCCAGTGGCCTGGAACTTGCTATAGACCAGGCTAGCCTTGAACGCAGAGAAATCAGCCTGCCTCAGCCTCCCAGAGTGCTGGGATTAGAGGTGTGGTGCCTGTTTTGTTGTGTTGTGTTGTGTTGTGTTGTTTTGTTTGTTTGTTTTGTTTTGTTTTGTCTCTTCCAGACTGGGTTCTTCCTGTAGCCCCAGGTGGCCTGGAACTCAGTCTCACAGAGATCTGCCTACATCTGCCTCCCCAGTGCTGGTATTAAAGGCGTGCACCACCATGCTGGGCAACAAGTGATTTTTTTTTTTTTTTTGCCTGGGGGAGAGTGCTTTTGTTTTTGAGACCAAATCTTATGTAGCTCAGATTAGCCTCAATTTAGCAATGTAATGGAGGATGATCATGAAAAAGAACCCACATCCTTATACACAGTCAGGTAATTAATTCCTCCATTCACCATCCCACGAGAGCAAAAATGTGAGTTCTTGGAGCTGGAGAGATGGCTTAGCCGTTAAGAGCACTGATTGTACTTGCAGAGGACCTGGGTTTGATTCCCAGCACCCACATGGCAGCTAACAACGGGGGACCTGATATCCTTTTCTGATCTCTGCAGGCATTGCACGACCTGAGTGCACTTACATACATACATGCAGGCATATGAATGTATTGCCTTCATGTATGTATGTGAGCACCTGTGTTGTGCAATGCCACAGAGGTTAGAAGAGAACTTTGGAGTCCCCTGGAACTGGAGTTAAGGAGGGTTCATAGCTGCCATGTGGCTGCTGGGAATCGAACCCGGGTCCTCTGCTAGAGCACTCAGTGCTCTTAACCCCTGAGCCATCTCTCCAGCCCATAAAATATTTTCTAATGTGAGTACTTTCATCAACTATTTGTTTTGCCTCAACTGTCTCACTTGCCTCATCCATGGAAATTTAAAGTAGCGATTTTTAAAAAGACATTTATACCTGTGTACATGCACACATAAAACTCATATTGGAGAACAACTCAATTTTTAAAATCCAGATAGAGACAAGAAATCTGTGTGTTTTTAAAAATATTTTATTTAGGCCGGGCATGGCAGCGCTTGCCTTTAATCCCAGCACTTGGGAGGCAGAGGCAGACACATCTCTGTGAGTTCGAGGCCAGACTGGTCTACCTAGTGAGTTCCAGGTCAGCCAGAGCTACAGGAAGACTGTCTCAAAAAACACACACACAAAAAATTTGTTTTATTTTATGCGTGAGTGTATTGCCTGCATGGATGTAAGTGCACCTGTGCTGTGCAAAGCCCACGGAGGTCAGAAGAGAGCATTGGATCCCCTGGATCCGAAGTTATGGACGGTTGCTAGCCGCCATGTGGGTGCTGGGAATCGAACCCGGGTCCTCTGCAAGAGCAGTCGTGCTCTTCATCTCTGAGCCATCGCTCCCTGCTTTTTTTCTCTTTTTTTTTTTTTTTTTTTAAGGGGCCGGGGTTCCTAAAACTGCGTTTGTCCGTGCAACCCAGTGTGGCCTTGAATTCCTGCAATCCTGCCTCGGCCTCCAGAGTGCTTGGACTATAGGCCTGAGCCACCACAGCCAGCTTAGGCTGGTGCACTGTTTGCTCCCCTGTGCCCAGTCGGTGAAAAGCGGATGCCAGCTGTGCCCCTGGGAACCCTGGGGGGCGGGGGGAAGAGGAATCCAAAGGGAGGGTGTGCTCAGGTCTCCTAGCAACCCGACGCTCTCCGCGCCCGTCGCCGGCTGGGTGGCCCGCACCCAGCGTGCCCCGCGGCCCGGCGCACACTACGTGTCCCACAATGCCACACGGCCCCGCCCCGCTCCGCGGAGACCCCGCCGGGCGGTGCCGCGACCCCTACCCGCGGCCCGCGGCCTGGTCGGCTGTGCAGGCCGGTCGCCATGCGAAGGGGCGAGCGCAGGGCCACGAGAGGCTCGCGGTCCGGGTCCCCGCTGCTCGAGGGCCGCCGCAGCACCGAGTCCGAGGTTTACGACGATGGCACCAACACCTTTTTCTGGTGAGGGGCCGGTCGACCCTCCTCGCTCCGGCGTCGGGATGGGTTCGGGTTGGAGTTGGGGACGGCTCCGGCGCGTCCGGGGAGCGTCGTGTCGGGGCTCGGGGGTCCGGAAAGGCCCTGAGGACCTCCCCCCCCCCCGAGCCACCTGGGAGTGTGATGGCGTGTATTCGGAGGGGTGAGGAGCTCGGAGCGCGCTCGCGGAGGCTTACCGTGGCTTCGCCATCACACGTTCGTGACACTCGGGTTTCCACTCCGCCGGACCGCCGGTGTCCCTCGATTCTCCAGTTGGCAGTTTCCTGAACTGGCCAGATGGACATGGCATATCTCTGTGTCGAGGGTTGCTCGGCGCTGGAACAAAGGCCCCTAACCCTTCGGTGACCCCAGCCCGCACAACGCAATCCCTGACAAGCTTCGGGGTCAGGCTGCCCCCTCTGTCTTTAGTGAGTGGGCGCCATACTGTAGCTAGCTGACACTTCGGTGCCCTTTTGCAGGGCCATGACACCAGCCTTAGCGGATAGGTCCCTGGTGTGATTTCATGACCTTGGGCTAGCCCTTCACCTTTCCTATTTATGAGAAAAACAAAACTCATATGCAAGAAACCACACTTCACGAGAGGCAGGGCTTTTCCCGTCTTAAGGAGGCTCAGTTTCCACCCACCCAAGCAAGCAGCAGGAGTTCTGGGGTAGGTCTTGCAGACAGGTGGTGCTGAAGTGCACAGACGTAAATGCATACCTGTGGAGTCCCCTTCTGAGTGGAAGCAGCTGTAAGAGAACAGAGTCGTGGCCGTGTTGAGAGCACATCTCATTGAGAGTGAAAGAGCCCCTGGCCTGAAAGTGACTGGGTGATTCAGGGGAAGGTTGCAGTCACACACATAGGGACTTCTGCAGGACCCCACCATGCTGCCTTGTGTCTCTGGCTTGTAAATAGGAGAGGCAGCTGAGGCTCTGGTAAGATACCGCGGAAGTAGCAGGAAAGTGGATTGGGTGTGAGATGTCTTTGCATCTGGACCTTGTATCAGCACCTTCCCTAGAATGTGGACAGTTTCTGCAGAGAGGTCCAGCCAGCCGGCCCTGATTTGCAGGTTAACGACCTCTGATGGCTATGGAGCTATTAGGAGGGAAAGAAGTTGGGCAACTCGGGTTGTTGAAGGTGTAGCTCCAGATCTAGTGCCAGTGGCTGTCTCTGACCTCAGGTCCTTTGGACACCAGGACTTCCTATCAGGTAGCCTCCCATGCCCCTTGGATGGACAGAAGGGAGGCACCACCACAACACAGCTGATGGTCACTGGAGAGTCCTGAAGTGGGTGCTTGGCTTGCCTTCCTTGTTTTATATTGTTCAGTCATTCTTTAACATATTTTTGGGGACCCTTACTGAGTGCCATCACTATCTTAGGGGATACATCAGGGAACTAAATAACAACTTAGACTCTGGTATAGTCCTGGAACTTTAAGAAGACTCTGAAAGTGCTGGCTGAAGGGATAGTAAGTGTGCAGAGCCTCACAAACTGAGAGCACAGCCTGCTCAATACTGTGGAAGTTGCAGCAGTTCCAAGAAAGACAGGATCTGGTCTCTGGAAGCACTGAACTGTCAGGGTTCTGCTCACAGGAATGTTTGAACCTGTAAGGAGGTTGAGGGGAGGCTTTTCAGGAGCAGATAAAGGGCTGGTTGGTTTCAGATACCTCTTCTTTTGGCTCTCCCCCTCTCCTACAGACTCTGCATGTGCAGAGGAGCATGGACCTCATTCTTGCTGCATTTTGGGAGTAGGGGAAGAAGGTACTTTACATTTCCTCACAGAGGTGACCAGATGCCTATCTGGTAAAACTACTGATGCAGGGTCATGCCACCAAGCTTCAGAGTCTTCCCGCACTGACTTTCTAGGCTAGAATTTTTTTTTTTTTTTTTTTTTTTTTTTTTTTTTTTTTTTTTTGTCTTTTTGAGACAGGGTTTCCTTATAGCCCCCCAGCTGGCCTGGAACTTGCTATACAGACCAGGCTGGCCTCAAACTCACAAAGATCCACCTGCCTCTGCCTCCCAAGTGCTGGGATTAAAACACCTGGCTTAGGCTAGAATTTTTAAAATTTATTCTAGTTTGGCAGTATGACATGTATATAATCTGCCACCTGTAAGTCCAACATTCAGGAAGCTGAGGCAAGAAGATAGTGAGTTCAAGGTCACATAGTGAGACCTGATCTCAAAAAACCAAAAATAAATAAGTAAATACAGTCTTTGATGTTTTATGGAATTTTAACAATGAATATTACAAAAAGCTAACATAAGCTCAGCGTGGCTGCGCACATCTTTAATCCCAGCACTTGGAAGGCAGAGGCAGGCGGATCTCTGTGAGTTCAAGGCCAAGCAAGCTGGGGCTACAGGGAGACCCTATCTCAAAAAGACCAAAAAAAAAAAAAAAGTTAATCTAATGTGTATTGGTTTTGGTTTTGGTTTGATTTTTGTTGTTTTGAGATTGGGTTTCATGTAGCTAGCCCAGGCTGGTTTCTAACTCCCTAGGTAGCATAGGTTGACCTTGAATTCCTGATCCTCCAGCTTCCACCTCCTAAGTATTGGGATCACTGGTATGCACCACCACACCCAGCTTTTAAAAGTTTATATTTGTGGAAGTTATTTAGATTTTAAAATCACCAAAAGGAGCTTTAACATGATGGAAAACATTCTTGTAAGGTTTTCATCTAAAGACAGTTGTGCTTCTTTGGATTGTGTTTTAGTTTTGGGTGACTGCTTGACGACCATGAGGTTTGCAGTTTGGGTCCCAAGGGGCAAGGATGCGGCCTCTGCTGCTGTTTCTAGTGCTCTTTGATGGGGACCTTCTTGGGGCTTGGGGATGTGTAGGACCACAGACTCAGGCACTGTACAAAGATAGGTCTTCTTCTGTCTCAAAATTATCTAGAAGAGCAATTTGCAGACTAACCCTAAAGAGGCACCTGTGAATGTTGCCACCTATCAGTGTTACTTTGTAACCTTCCGGTGAGTTGGGACTGCCATTACCAGTATATCCTAAGTAGCTCTTTACCTCTGCAGCCTTAAGAGTATGTCAGTGATCTCAGATGCCCCAGGTTTCTGGAGATGCCTTTCTCAATCACTGTGGGCTAGGGCTTACCCGTTTGCCCTCATCTGGGAAGCATGGCTTGACAATTGACACTTTGGCCCTCTAATCAGCAGGCCAGGAGGACCAGTTTAACAAGCTAGGAGCCTCTTCCAGGCCTGGGGCAGGCCCTGTCCCTTTCTTGGCAACGCATTCATGTTTCCCTGTTTGGTCCTGGCAGACCTGCCTTCCTACCCACTCCACTTAAGGAACATGGTCATCTCTAGGGAGGAACAACAACTGGTATTTTCCACTCGTGGCAAAGAACCAGTTTGCCCTCATGCCCGTCCCCTTGGAATGACTGAAGTCCCAAGATTCATATAAGCCAACTCTCATCTGGTGCCTGGTCATAGGACTCAGACCTTCCCAGTGTCTGCCCACCCAGAAGTGAAGGGCTCCATTGTACAGATCTAACATCCTGGAAGGGGAAGGGTGCCCTGCCTCTGGTGTCTGTTGCTTTTGTGTATGTAGATGCCAGTGTGAAGTGAGCTAGACAGGGAGTAGTGAGATGGAACTTTTTCTCCAGCAACTGTTGATTGAAACATTCTGAAGTCTGTCCAGCTATAAGTTTGTTTGAGGCCCTTTCTCTGGGTCTTTGCTTCAGCTTTACCAGGACCAAGGAAGGTCAGGTACTTGGTGACTGCTTGAATGACATTATAAACGTTTACCTAAGGGCAAAGTGTTACTATTTTTCAGATATTCCTGGTGTATTTAAGAGAATGGAAAGATAGTGTTCCTTTTCAAGGTTGGTAGATGATCAGTTAGCTAGCCACTTAAAAAACTACAGGAAGATCACTATGCTAGTGAGAAGTAACAGTAAAAGTACCAAAAGACTGAAGTAGCACAATGATAGAGTTCATGTCTAGTGTCTGTTCAATCCCTAGTACTGGACAAAGGGAGAGGAAATTCATTCCGAGTTTAACCAATGTTAGTAATGTGACCATATCTGCCTGTGCCATGGGCAATGCACACTAGCTACTCTGGTACCCATGGGGATGCTCAGTCAACTGGGCACTGCAGGTCAGGCCCTGTCCTGTGCTGGGTGACTAGGTATCATATACATTCCTTGTGATGTTCTTCCTGCTCTGACGCTGCCTGTTATGTTTTTGGATTCAGGCGTGCTCACACCTTAACTGTGCTGTTCATCCTCACCTGTGCACTGGGCTACATCACTCTCCTGGAAGAAACACCTCAGGACACAGCCTACAACACTAAGAGGTAACCACCTAGGGTGTGGAGGGTGTGGTGTCCTGTGGTGCTTTGAGAGATGAAGGATCTGCCCTTTTTGGCCTGTAATTCTTTTGGTGGGACCTGGAACCTGCTGTCATCTCTTCCCTGGGAAACATGGTTTATCCTAGGACACCATGCACTGCCTGTGACTCTGCAGCCTTATCAAGCAAAGGTGCTGTGATTGTAACCATCCTGAATCCATCCCCACCACCTGCTTTGGACCCTTACAGTTCACAGGAGGAGCCCATATCAGCTAAGCTGGTGTGGCCTCCCTGCCAGGATCCTCAGGGTATCCAGGGAGCTGCTAGAACTACTCCATTTTTATTATGTGGGAGTTTTCTTATTCCTATAATGTAGATTTCATATGTAGAAAATGCTTTTTATTACATTTATTTTATTTTACTTATGTGTGTATATATGCATGTGTGTATGTGTGCGTATGCCACAGTATATGTGTCGCGGTTGGTTCTTTCCTTCCACTATGCAGGTCTGAAGGATTGAACTCAAGTTGTCAGGCTTGGTGGCAAGTGTCCTAACCTGCGGAGCCATCTCTCCAGCCCTGTAGGAAACATTTTATTTTATATTTTTTGTGGTGAGACTCCAGGCACAAGCTACTGTCCAGCTCTTTCTTTTCAAATCAACTTTATTGACCTTTAATGTATTTCTAATAAAATTACAGCCAGTGAATTTGGGGTGCACACAGTTGTGTACCCATCGCTGGCCCCAGGCATCTGTGAGTATCATACCACATGTTCTGATTTCCTAGGAGCAGGTTTGTTGTGCTTACTCTTCTGTGTTTGGCTTCTTCCCCAAAACAGTGGCTGTGTATCTCTGTGGGAGAGTATTGGTACTGTTGGTAAGCTCTGCCACATGGAAGCTTACGATTTATCATCCATATAGGGGGTAGGGGAGTGGGGGAGAGTACTCTCACCCTCACAGTTAATGAACTATCCATTCCATGTATAAATTTAAAGGCCAAGCATGATGTAGACACCTATAATCTCAGCACTCAAGATTTTGAGGCAAGAGAATCTTAAATTCAAGCCAGACTGGGCGACATAGTGAGTTCACAGTCAACCTGCCCCTTTTCCCTGCTCAAATAAAACAGAAACCCAGCTTTAAAAAAAAAGGTAAACATCTTGAAAATACAGATAATTCCTAAAGCAAACTACTAAGAAAAGAAGCAACATAATTAAAAAATGGAGGGGCTGAAGAGATGGCTCAGCAGTTAAGAACACTGAATGTTCTTGCAGACAGAACACTGATGCAGAAGACCTGGGTTTGAATCCCAGCACCCACAAGGCAGCTAACAACTGTCCGTAACTCCAGTTCCAGGGGATTCAATGCCCTCTTCTGACGTCGGTGGGCATTGCATGACATGGGTGATGGGTGCAACATGCATCAATACACACATACACATATAATAAAAATAATTTTTTTTTTTTTTTGGTCTTTTTGAGACGGGGGTTTCTCTTTAGCCCAGCTGGCCTGGAACTCCCTAGGGAGGCCCGGCTGGCTTTGAAAC